GGATGAATTTACGGCAGAATCCGGTATAAGTGCATACATTACTAATAGTTAGAGTAAATAAGGTATATACTTGCATGGTGTATAATGCGTTAATAGATATTCAGCATAATGCCATGCAGCTCTCATTTGAATTGATGTGAACAAACAATGTATTTCACATATACAGTGTACATGTACATCACATGCAACCTTTTTCAAACTCTACACATGAAGCTTTAACTTATCAATATAAGGAGTAACCTCACCCCCCCCCCACATATTAATTATAATATTTCAAAAACAATTGAAAACCAACTTACCTGCTCGTTGAGCATACTTTGATAGTTTGATAAGGGCTTTTTTCTTCAAAATAAAACTTGACCCAATGAAAATGCTTGAACTGATAGCTAATGTTAACCCGATATAGAAGTCTTGATTGGCTTTTTCATCATCGTGATCAACGACAGTATCCATAGCTGATTTAAATAATGTGAAATTAGACGGCAACCCTATGTGATAAATAAACATGTTATAATCAGTGCTGCACTATCTCATAAAATAATGCATGATTTTTTATGAAGATATTGTGCAACTGATTTTATCTTTGTCATGTACATTATGGTAGTCAGGGTAAGTATTTTGTTGAATCTAGGTGAAAGAAAATACACAAATCAAAACATGAATACACACTGACAAAATACAAGTAAATTTTGAAACGTTGAAATATAAAATAGCATTATCTCTCAATCAAATTAAGCTCAACATGACAAGCCTCTGACTTTGTCTGTCACCATGTGCATTGTTTTCAACATGACAAGCCTCTGACTTTGTCTGTCACCATGTGCATTGTTTTCAACATCTTTGTTGTTCTCCAGACTAAAACTTTTGTAATGTTTTGGTATGACATCAATGATTGTGAATTCCCCAAACCCACTTGACGTGATCTCTATACCTTTATACTGTAAACTGCTTAATTTGAAAAGCATATATTGGACGTACTGTAAACTGCTTAATTTTAAAAGCATATATTGGACGTACTGTAAACTGCTTAATTTGAAAAGCATATATTGGACGTACTGTAAACTGCTTAATTTTAAAAGCATATATTGGACGTACTGTAAACTGCTTAATTTTAAAAGGATATATTGAACGTACTGTAAACTGCTTAATTTTAAAAGCATATATTGGACATACTGTAAACTGCTTAATTTTAAAAGCATATATTGGACGTACTGTAAACTGCTTAATTTTAAAAGGATATATTGAACGTACTGTAAACTGCTTAATTTTAAAAGCATATATTGGACGTACTGTAAACTGCTTAATTTTAAAAGCATATATTGGACGTACTGTAAACTGCTTAATTTTAAAAGCATATATTGGACATACTGTAAACTGCTTAATTTTAAAAGGATATATTGAACGTACTGTAAACTGTTTATTTTTAAAAGGATATATTGGATGTACTGTAAACTGTTTAATTTTAAAAGCATATATTGAACGTACTGTAAACTGCTTAATTTTAAAAGCATATATTGAACGTACTGTAAACTGCTTAATTTTTACAATTTGTTTACATCCATGTTCACTGCTACATGATTTCAGACTAACAAAGACTTGTCTCTGGCAAACTCAATGGCTGAGTATTAATGTTAGTCATATTGTCTAAAATTGTTAAGTCATTGCTAAGGCTAGAACGCTAAATGCTAGGATGCTATACAACCTGATGTTGCGAAATCAGTATTTTTCATAAATGTTTGCTGTCATCTTTTCTTGAAAACATAAATGATTAAACAAGTAATTGGTTATCAAAAGCACACATATGCAGAAAAGTTTCTGATAAAATAAAGTAACATTGTGCAGCTAAATAAAGAAAAGAACAGAAATAATTTTTATCATAAAACTATAGATTTTTCTCAAAATGTTTAACTTAACAGGTATGCAAATTAATCACAAAAATCAACAATTAATTAATTGTTATCAAATTAGGTTATTATACAAGGTGTAGAGTGCATAAATCAAATAGTGAAAACACAGAGTGTCAATAGTTCTCAGGCTGAATTTGTCTCTCATTTCATCATTAGAATTGATCAATTGCCATCCTCTAAATTTAATTTTTAGCTGCCATCATGCCATTTTAGACAAATGCCTTTCAATATGTTCAAAAAACAAATCCAGCCTGAAAACTGTCAACAAAAATATACAATAGAAAACTGTAATTAAAAAGCATTGTTAGCGATTGAAAAAGAACATGTTGGAGTTAGAAGGAGGGCATTATATTATACAGTAATATGAAATTCTTAATTGTTTTAAGGTGTTAATCTTTTACAGTAATCGTAAATACAGTGTGAATGTCGATTATTCCATGTTTACTGCTGATCACGAATTAGCTGCTCTATTCCAAAATCTGATAATATCTTGTTCTTTTTATCAAAAGAGTTTGTCATCACCAAAGCCATCAGATCACTGTAAATACAGTACCCTCATTCAACTACACGTGCCAAGCAAACACACATCATAATAACTGGCATAATTTATAATGAAATGATTAATAATGCAAAACTATATAATTATTATGCACTATATAAATACTATGTGTTGTGCAATGGCCCAAATACCTTGATGTTATGTTACTATAGTGAAATAGGGATGACTAAAGCACAGAACCAGAAACCATCAAACTGCAGAGTAGACCATCTGGAAAATGAAAAGTTATTTTATCATCATCTTACCATTTACAGTACAGCAAGCATTTATTAAACCCGACATGTCATTTAATAGAGAAGACAAGTGTATCGTGTGTAGATAATACAAGTGTATTATATTCATGTCAAGATGAAGTTAGACTGAAATGAAAATAGCTGGTCAGTGAAATGTGTTATCAAATTACAAGGTAGTGATTAAATAAAATGTATGTTTCACATGTTCATCTGTGTTTGTATAGGCCTTCAATTATGACATACACAACCAAAGGAGTAAACTACAAACAGTTGATAAAGACAAGATGCTACAAAAACATATGACAAGAAAATCATTGTACAGATTGCATGGATAACCTTGACAAATTTCCCAGTATTTCTCAGAACTTGTGTGGATTAAATTGTTTTCATCACTGCACCAAATGTGCATCAAGTTGTGTGTAAATATTATCATTCATTTATAAAACCTTGCCATGTCATAAGTATCTGAGCACACACAACACATACAATAGGGATTATCTTGCAGCTGGACATACGGTGATGCAACGTTTTAAATTTTGGCATCAAACTCTCATTAATACATTGTAGAAAGTGGTTAGGGCCAAATGTCACCTTATATTGACAGAATTGTTGTGTGTAAATTTTCATGCTTGACATCACTGATAATAATTACTAATGTGATCTGTGAAAAAACATGAAAAATAGGCACATAGGAAAAAAGTTATTGTAAATAGGTGATTTTCCATTAAACTGCGAGTTTCGCGAGATGCATGAAAGACACACGTCGAACGCCTGCCGCAAAAATCAAATGATTTGATTTTGAACTCAAATTTTTTTATTTCGTAGCTCACATCGACCGGCTAATTTTCGACAGAGGAATATTGCTTTTGAATACCCTTACTTAATCGAAATTGTCTATCAAATGTGTACAGCATGGAAATGCCTCTCAAAATTTTTTTGCGTTTGTTGAATCCCACGCGATGTTTGACGCCACTACAACGCTATGACCTTTGTTTGTCCTGTTTTTTCGTTCGATTTTACGCATAGCACGTGATTCTCGCAGTGAACGGGAACTGGTCTAATGTAAATAGTAGGAGATAAAGAATACTGTAAAATACTTTATTTTAATTTAAATTAATTTTCACTGAAAAGACATTTTGACTGTTTCAAAGTGAAAATAAATACATTAGAGCAGACACTGTTGACACCATTAGATACCATTCATATTGCTATTTCAGCAGGTTATTAGTTAGAAAAAAACAAACTAAGCAATACTGCTGTGGCTACAGGTGGTGATGGAGAAAACATCAGCTGAAAATTTTAATGGATTTTTTTTGAAATAATTAAGTAAAGGGCTCAAGTGGTAAAATAGTTACAAGTAATTAGACCTATATTACTAGAGAGAAGAATGAAAATTATCAGTCTGTAATCTTTTAGAGTATGGTTGCAATATATAACATGGTATTACAATTATATAACAGTATATAGAATTTGTATAAACTATAACTTGTATTTTATTGCATAATGAATTGTTAAAATATGGTTCATTTACATTCAAGATGTCAATGACCAATCAAGGAAATCTTTAAGGGTGTTTACACTGGCTGTCTTATAAAACTATGTCATTTGATTAGTCAGTGACCCAATGAACCATATATTTTGAAATATTTTGAAAAACTTGAAAGTTTGTGAGCTCATCTGAAGTTGTTTTTATTTTCTATCCTATTCTGATTTAGTTTTAGTACTGGTTCAAGTACACTCTTCTTATTACCATCGACTACAGTTGTTTCTGATGTACATATATCTGTGTGAATGTGTCGCTCAACATTGACAACCCACTATCATATTTGTCTATTATAAGAACATCATAAACCACAGTCCTTTAACACCAGGTTAGGAAACTATTCTATTGTCTTGATCTTTATCGCACAAAAATCCTGCACAGTTATCAATTTGTTTTGGTTCCCTAAAACGTTCGCTCATGGATGATCCTAGGTCATTGAAATACATGTGTAAGAAGGGTAATGTGATTTTGATGATGAGGACTTTAATATTTTTTTAGAACGGGACCACTTAATTGTGCAAAAGGACATCTTGTCCAGTACTAGTACCGGTATTAGTACTGTGAGTGTACAGTTATAAGGCTTAGCAGGATTGACATATAATAATTTCAATAAGGAAAAAAACACTATGTAATTTGAATGGAATAAAACAAGCAAAATATCAGAAAACTCACAACTTGAACATCTTAAAAATGCAAACAACATAAAAACATACAATGACTTGGGCAATGCCATTTTATTTTGCTGTGCTGTACAGCTTATTGAAAACAGACTAAAATTGTATTGTAAGTGAAGGCATATAACAATATTTTACAATTTTTGGGACAGAGTTTTGAAAAAAATGATACATGGTTTCCAATAAGCGACATTCAAAGTTGGCGCCATTTGTATTTTACGTCAAAACGATACAGCTGAAAAACATCTGTTTTCTCACTAATCAGGATATGTAATTTCACAGACTGAAAAGGGTTGACACTGACATGCAAAACCATCTGATGATTTTTTGGATCATTCGACAAGTCAACAAGCTGAATCAATTCAGATATCAAAATTGATTGTTTGGTATTTGGAACCAAGTGCAACAATTAATAATGGTAGGGCATGTATGTGTTATGACTAACAGCTTATATAACAACTATTGTTATCTGAAGTTGAATAAACACTGTCACAATAATGACTTCACTGTCAACTGACTAAAGCAAATAATTCATTCAGTTTATTTGGAGAATAACACCTTTATTCTGTATTCATTGAATACAGAATTATTGAAACATGACTTATTTTGACTTATAGCAGTTCTGTATTTTATTTGGTATGTGATATTGATTGAGTATAGATGGTACATTTGAGTGGTTCAATTTAATTGCTGATGGTAAATACAGCTGATAAAGAGGCAAACAACTAAGCCAGTACAGGATACAGGATATTTTATTTGGAACGTACACAATACAGAGCTTGAGTAAAGTACAAAAAACAAAACAAAAAGACAATACAAAACAACTAACTAAATAACTAAACTAAAATAATTTCATAATCTGAAAAACAAAATTAGCTAAGTTGGTATAGATAAATTTATCATTACTAGAGAAAATCTGCACAAACAAATCTTTCTTACATAAATTTTGTAGATTGGGTGCATAAATATACAATGATTTATTAAAGGAACTTATCCCTGTGCCCAGTAATATCATTATGTTTGCAGTGCATTATATAATGTATTTCATAAATATACAATGATTTAAGGAACTTATCCCTGTGCCCAGTAATATCATTATGTTTGCAGTGCATTATATAATGTATTTCATTCCCCAAGTCATCGTTGTTACATAAATTACATACTCTATTATCTCTATCAGTACCCTGGTAACGGCCTGTCTCAATAGGTAGAAAATGTGCGGAAAAACGGTACATGGCGTGTATAGTAAAATCCTGAAAGCTGATTCACAATTCACATAATTAAGCAATTAATGGTTGCTAAGGCCGAAAAAATCGGTAAAACCAGCTGCAACGATTTCAAGGTCAGGGCGTGTTACCCGTTGTTTCAACCATGGAGCTAAAAAAAGCTCCATGTTTCAACCGACGTATTAAAATATGGTGTAAAAGTAATTAAAAATAAACCATAACACTGTAGCTTGTTATTAATAATATAACAATTTATCAAAATATACCAACAGCGGAGTTTCACGTTCATTCATTGTTTATTTGTCGATAAATATAATCTTGATAAAACTTACCGTGTTTTGCCATTTTCTGATCATTCCATTTTCACTTACACTATAAATGACATATGAATCATCGGCCCCCGATCACCAGTTTGTAGTTGACCTCCAATTATGTGGAACCGGAAGTAATCAACGGGTCGTTTTTTATTATTATTTATTGGAGACCTTTTTAGTCTGTCGTTCATCTAATATATTCATGTGTTTTAGCAGACGTTATTTGTAAGCTTCAAAAATATTTTCGATCAATAAACTCAAATAATGTTCAAAATCATGCCTTAGAAACAAATAATAGAATATTATTTGACTTTTATTTTGAAATTACCTGAGCAGAATCTAGTAGCTGGAAATGTCAACTACATTGGGTCAAAGTTGAAAGCTATTTTTTTTATCTGTGTGTCTTATTAACTTACGTCAAGATGAGTAAAAAGAAAGTGGAATACCCACCTGAACTTGAAAATCAGTTTATATTACGAATGCATCCGGTATGTAAAACAAAGATCCTTTCTTTGAATCAAAGATGTTTTACAGAACGGTCTGAATGTGGAGCTCTGTTTCTACCTCCGAGTCCATGGTTTGAATCAGTGAATGTTATTGTTGTTTTCCGAATCGACGATTGAATGGATTCTGACCTGCAAGGATAAACAATGATCACTGATTTTTGGCTTTAGACACAGTCACTCTACTAGTAGATTTTCCAAATTATATTTCGATCCGCTTCACACAACTCAAGCATGATATCGGTAGAAACTTCAAAATTACCGTGTAGATGGATTATCATTTGCTCGGGTGTTTGGATTTTCACAGGATTTAACCGGTTTTAGTTCGAATAAAGGTAATATAAGTCGATCGATAGTTTCTACCGATATCATGCTTGAGTTGTGTAAAGCGGATCGAAATATAATTTGGAATCGTGTTATTTTCGGGAAATTTTGATGTCATGGTGTCAACGCTTTCCTACCTTGTGTTATTATATATGAATGGTAGGCGAATGTACCGGCGACTGACTAACTATGCTGATTCTACTTTAGGTCATTTTTTATTATCCGAAAAACGTTTCGAGCGCCTGTGATTGTGCACTGCAGGCAGACGCTCAAATTATATGTAGCTTGTCCAGTGATGTCACATAAGATTGATTCAATAAATTTCAAAAACAAGCTACTGGGTAGTAAAGTATGTTGCTGTTCTGTGAAGTTTTGGATATATCAGTTTATGTGTGATAGCACGAGTAACGGTATAAGATATTCAGGAATTCAAGAGACTTTTGCTTTAGGTTCAGCCAAGTTATGAATACAAACTCAATGGGATTCAGACCAGGAGAGTAATACTGTGTATACATCAAATACATCTCTATTGAGTCAAGAAATTCGCCAAAGCAACATGTCAAGCACATGCCAAGCACATGTCTTTGTGTTACAGCCTAGACATGCAGGATAGGCCGGCCTCCCCGACTTCCATCACCAGGTGGATTACTGTGACTGTATTAGAGGTCTATAATACTTTAACTTCCTCAACACAGAGCTTGCAGAGACACCAAGTACGAGCGCATAAGGTTCGTGCGATTGCTAACTCACTAGTGCTAGCATCAGGTCAA